TTCACCTGGCCTATCCGCTTCACATCCCTGTATGGTCCTTCGAAACGCGGTTCAGTCACCTTGCTCTTTCTGGGATAGCAGCACCATCACCCGGGTCCCAACCTGAAACTCACTTGGGACGGCCTTCCGATCATACCAATCGGACATCTTCCTCTGGGCCTTTCTCAGATGTTCGGCTGCCAACTTCTTTGCACTTCCAAGTCGTTCCCTGAATTTATACACATACTCGTCGACTGATTTCATGGCCACTCCCTACGTCAGCTGTTCCTTCAGCATCGATATGGGACTACGCACCTTGTGTCCATACACGAGATGAAACGGTGAGAATCCCAGAGACTCCACCACTGTGTCCCATATCGCAAATAACGCCGGATACACGGCCTCATCCAATTCTGTTCCTTATTCGACGCAGAACACTCTTAACATGGTCTTCAAGGTCGAGTGAAACATTTCGTGAAACATTCCTTGTGACTGCGGTCTGGAGGGCGAAGACCAAATTTGGGTTATCCCCCAGCTTGCAATAGTTTGCCTAAACCATCTCGATAGGAACACGCTCCCACAATCAGTCTGACTCTCTTTGGGTATCCCCACCCAAGAGAAAAAACGTTGGAGCTGTCCCATAATACTCTTTGATGTTAGCTGTCGCACCGGGACTGCTTCCAGAAACCTCGTTGACGCACGCATAATCGTCAGCAAGTAGTTGTTCCCTCTCTTCGTTCGGAGCAAGGGTCCCACACCGTCTATCAGTAGACGCTCAAACGCTTGTCCAAAGGCAGGGACAGGAACCAGAAGGGCCCTCGGTTCCGGCACGTTCTTTCCCGCCCTCTGACAAGCAAGACACGTTTTACTATGACGTCTCACGTCGGCGTCCATTCCCGGCCAATAGAAGTGTTCCCTGATCCGGCTCAGCGTCTTGGTTACTCCAAGATGACCTGCAGGGTTTACTGAGTGCGCCAAATCTAGCACTGCTCCCCTGCAACGAGTCGGTATTACTACCTGCTGCTTCACTTCTAGGGCCTCCATATCGGCTTCCCTCCTCACTGGCCTCCACTGCCTCATCAGCATCCCCTCTTCTAAATAGAAATGCGTAGCAGTCTCGGGTTCAGCACGACCTCCCTCGGCCTCTTAATATCAACTTGGGAAATTCCTCCCGCTGCAGCTCGCCCAGTCAAGCGCGATCCAACTCGAGAGGACTGGTGAGAATTATCTGTACTCCATCATCCGGGTTCCCACTACACTCCATCTGTCCTCCGGGTTCCTCGAAGAGTCGATCGATTCCTAGGCTGTCAGACACATCCCCTCCAGCCTGACTAGATCCACTTCTTTCGCCTTTGACACTGTCTCGGGAATACCGCGCACACAGGGAACGCTCCCTCAGCGATCTCCCTCGCAGTGTCTGACGCACTGCCTTCCTTTCTATAGCGTTCCAAACACTTCTCGCCTTTAACGAGGTTTGGGAGTACACATCCTCCACATGAGTCATTTCCCAGAATGACCTGGGCCTCCATCTTAGGCATCGAGGCGCAGACCCCCCACCACTAGGGTCTTGCAGCCATAGTCAGAATCTAAAATCACCTCGTGAAGAGGCATTCTCACTGGGCCCTCCACATTGGTCACAATGGTCACCCCCACACTGGTGTCCTCATATTCCTCAGGGAATAGGGTCTCACTCACCAGGGTAAAGTCTGCTCCAGTATGTCCTAACATATTCACTGGAATGGGGTTGGCCCCTTTTATCTTCACGGTACCTCCAGAAATAAAAGGATGGATCTTTTCCTTCCTTTCTAGTGGAGATCCGCTCAAAACATTCTTGGCTCCTTGGTCGTCCATTCTGACTAGTGCCACATTTCCGAGTTGCCTAAGGCAACCACACTCACATGCGAAGTGTCTGCACACGCCATAATTAAAACATCTGACTCTCCTGGGAGGCGACTGTCCACCTGTCACTCAAGCAACACTCCTGGAAACCGCCGTCCCCCGAGTCCTCGTCGTGCCCCCGGTCGTCGTCTCCCTGGCAGCGTTCTTCCCTCCAGCACCAGTCCCGGCGTTCCCCCTTGGGGTCTCCTCACCGGTTCCCCTGAACTCTTGGACTGACTCACCTCACTGTGTAAACTACTCTTAGAAGAGTCTCCGCCCGTCCTGGCTCCTCCTGAACTCCTGAAGTTCCCTCCAAACCTTGGGTAAGGCGAGTGCCTGGGCGGTCCCTCCTTTCCGAGATGTAGCGCCTCTTCCAGCAGGTCGACTCTGTTTGCAGCGGCCTTAAGTTCCTTAATACCTGCCTTCTTGATCCTGACCCTTAGCTCTGGATGGAGCATCGACATGAATCTTTCCATTATCATAAGAACATTAGAACATAAGAACAAAGGTAACTGCAGAAGGCCTATTGGCCCATACGAGGCAGCTCCTATCTATAACCATCCAATCCCACTCATATACTTGTCCAACCTGCGCTTGAAACAATCGAGGGACCCCACCTCCACCACGTTACGCAGCAATTGGTTCCACAAATCAACAACCCTGTTACTGAACCAGTATTTACCCAAGTCTTTCCTAAATCTAAACTTATCCAATTTATACCCATTGTTTCGTGTTCTGTCTTGTGTTGATATTTTTAATACCCTATTAATATCCCCCCTGTTATGTCCATTCATCCACTTGTAAACCTCTATCATGTCACCCCTAACTCTTCGCCTTTCCAGTGAATGCAACTTAAGCTTTGTTAATCTTTCTTCATATGAAAGATTTCTAATTTGGGGAATTAAGTTAGTCATCCTACGTTGGACACGTTCAAGTTAATTTATATCCATTCTATAATACGGCGACCAAAACTGAACTGCATAATCTAAATGGGGCCTAACCAGAGCAAGATATAGCTTAAGAACCACACCAGGTGTCTTGTTACTAACGCTTCGATTAATAAATCCCAGTGTCCTATTCGCCTTATTACGAACATTCATGCATTGATCCTTTTGTTTTAAATTCTTACTAATCATAACTCCCAGATCCCTTTCGCAATCCGACTTTGCAATCTCAGCACCATCTAGCTCGTATCTTGTAACTCTATCATCATTACCTAGCCTCAGAACTTTACATTTATCAGCATCAAACTGCATTTGCCAATCCTTTGACCATTTCAAAATCTAGATCAACTTGAAGTGATAGTGAGTCCTCCTCCGAATTAATTTCCCTACCGATTTTCGTATCATCGGCAAATTTGCAAATGTTGCTACTCAAACCTGAATCTAAATCATTTATACATATTATAAACAACAGAGGTCCCAGGACAGAGCCCTGAGGTACTCCACTAACAACATTATCCCACTCTGACTTAACCCCATTTATACTAACTCTCTGTTTCCTTTGGAATAGCCATGCTCTAATCCAAGTTAATATATCACCCCCAATACCATGAGCTTCTATTTTTGTAATTAGTCTTTCATGTGGCACTGTATCAAAAGCTTTGCTAAAGTCAAGGTACACAACATCACAATCCTTACCACTATCAACTGCCTCAACTATGCTGGAATAAAAAGTTAGCAAATTTGTTAAACATGAACGGCCATTTGTAAAACCATGTTGCGACTCATTTATTAATTTATGTTTTTCAAGATGGAGACGAATTGTATTTGCAATTATTGATTCAAGTAACTTTCCCACAATAGACGTTAGGCTAATTGGCCGATAATTTGACGCAAGTGATCTATCTCCCTTCTTAAAAATTGGTACCACATTAGCTACCTTCCATGACTCTGGCACTCTGCCTGACTCTATTGATTTATTAAATATGGTAGACAGTGGCTCGGAAAGCTCCTCTTTGCATTCTTTTAGCACCCTGGCAAACACTTCATCCGGCTCTGGGGATTTGTTTAGTTTTAGTTTTTCTAATTGTTTAATTACATCCTCCCTGGTAACTGCTAAACTAGTCAACCTGTCCTCATCCCCACCCACATAGACTTGTTCGGCTGAAGGCATATTGTTAAGTTCTTCTTTAGTAAATACAGATATAAAATATTTGTTAAAAATACTACTCATCTCCTTGTCATTATCCGTTATTTGACCTGTCTCAGATTTTAATGGACCTATCCTTTCCCTAGTCTTAGTTCGATATAAGTGAAAAAACCCTTTAGGATTTGACTTTGCTTGCTCTGCTATGCGAACTTCATAGTTTCTTTTTGCTTTCCTAATCTCTTTTTTAACATTTCTAACCAGTTGTATGAATTCCTGTTCTAAACTGACTTCCCCATTCTTAATCCTTTTGTACCAAGCTCTCTTTTTACCTATAAGGTTCTTTAAATTATTTGTTATCCACTTTGGGTCATTAGTATTCGATCTATTCAATTTGTATGGTATACTACGTTCCTGTGCTGTGTTTAGAATATTCTTAAATAAGTTATATATTAAATCCACATCGAAATCCCCTTTTACATCACCTATCGCTGGGTTCATGTCTCGCTCCAAGACTGGCCCACACCCCATACCCAAGACTTTCCAATCTATTTGACCCCAAAAATTTCTTAGGCTATTAAAATTAGCTTTTCGAAAATCTGGCACTTTAACAGAATTTTCTCCTACAAGTCTATTCCATTCCATGCTAAATCTGATTACTTTGTGATCACTGTTCCCTAGCTCACTCCCTATTTCGATGTCATTAATTCATCAACTGCTTCAGCTCCTCCATCGTCTCCACCTCTTCGGCCTTCAGCCACACCAGGAACCTGCACTCCATGTCCTGAGCAGTCTCAGCATACGACCTTCCAGAAGCTCTTGTGCACTCACGGAAGCATTTCCAGTAAACCTCCGGGGTTAGTCGATACGAGTGGAGCGTAGCTTTCTTGATCATGTCGTAAACGGAGCACTCCTCAAGGTCCAACATGTTATAAGCTTCCCTGGCCTCGCCAGTCAACCTACTATGCACTAACGCAGCCCAATCCTCTTCCGGCCATTCCTTCAATGTCGCTATCCTTTCAAAATGGTCGAAGAGAGCTTCAGCCTCTAGAGGGTCAAAGGTCACGCTCCCGGACCTTGGGGTCATCCCACCGAGCAGATACCGAGGGCAGCCTGCGCTCCGCCCGATGCAGCTCAACTTCTTTCTTCGCTTTTATTTCTTCCCGTCGTAGTTGTCTTTCTCCTTCCTCTCGTTGCAGTTGGGCTTTGTGCTCTTTACGCTTCAGCTGAGCCTCGCGCTCCTCTCGCTTCCGCTGAGCTTTGCGCTCCTTCCTCTTCAGCTGGGCTTCGCGCTCACTGTCCTCTCGCTTCAGCTGAGTTTTGCTCTCCTCACGCTTCAGCTGAGCTTCAAGCTGCATTTTCATTATCTCTAGCTTCATGCTTCTCCTGCTACTACCGCTGGATCCCCTACTGCTACCTTCGTCGCTCCGGTTCCCACCAACACTGGCAGGTACTTGGGGCGGTCGTTCCCTGGAAGCCTCCTCTTGGGCCTTGAGCTGAGCCATGATCTCAATCCGACGCTCCGCCACCCTGGGGGACCTCAATCTCAACCCAAAATGGTCCGCCACTAGCTGCAGCTGAGCCTTGGTGCACTCTTCCAACACCTGCTCGTCCCTTGACTCATTAAACTTCTTTACTCTGTCATCCTCCATCACTAGGCTATTGAGTAACCGTATACAGGGAATACACTAGCGAGCAGTGTAAACCGAGGTCGCCACTATCAAGGTTCACCCCCTTCCTACCTGTGGTTGGGGTTGCTCCCACGGGTCTTAGCTCCTCAGTTCCTGGCGCCACTGTTCGCCCCGGGGCTCCCCCAGTCGGCCAAGGCTGGCCTTATACACCCCTAGCGAGTGGGGAGGTTCAAGCCTCCTATAACTCACCTGAACCTGTCCGTCCTGACACTGGGAGTTTCTATCTTTCTTTATCTGGTCTTCTCAGGTCGCCAGCTGAGTGTTTATACTCGTGTCCCAGCAACACATCAGTGGTCTTATTGGTTATCTTAATCAAGGATGCAATATCACGTGCAGTGCAAGGTGCCATAAAATGAGCTCACTCAATGTATATATAGCCCTAGAGAATGGAGGCTCACTTAAACTCATCAGTTAGTTTAAAAGATTACTGAAGAAAAGCATATAAACACATATAAATTGCATAAAGAAATGTCTATAAGTGGATATCGTCTGCTGCTGGCAACACTCCTCTTACCACGTCTCTGGCAACACGGTCAGCTGACTGGGTCCACACCTCGAGCCGCGGGCACACACCTCGCGCCTCTGGCAGCACGATCAGCTGACGGCTCCAACTGTCAGAAACGTCGTGACTCTCCCACGCCTCTAGCAATGCGATCAGCTGGGTGTTTCAAAGTTTGTTGCTGGCTCCTCTCAAACCAGCTACTACCTCCAGGATCAGTAACATCACCGCATTAATGCTCACATGCACTAATTTATGCCTAAATGATCTCTTGGCTCCTAGCCTAACATTCTGTCACTTAGACAATAAAATGATAAGTAAAAATGTTCACAACATATAAAATGCTCTAGCTTGCCTAGATCAAAAGGGGTAAAGGGAGGGACAATTATCTACCTTATTTCATTCCAACCACAAAGCCGACTCGTCTTCTGTTGAGGGATGTTGAGGTTCCTGGTCCTGGCTTCTGGTCTGCCGACAATCCATCGTCGTCCTCCGCTCTAACTGGCACTGTCGGCATTTCACAGTCCAGCACAGCTTCCCCTCGCCTCTCTGCCAGTAGATTTGGCCCGGCCATAGCTTCTTGCTTGATGTGTATAACGTGGTCCTCTGGGCGTCCCAGACGTCACCAGCCCAACGTTCCCTCTGCTGCAGACTCTTGATAGAGCTCTAGGCTCTCTAATCCGGCCCGTCCTTGCTTCTGGGCACTCCATGGAGTTGGATGGCCTCTCAGACTGTCTGCAGTATCGAAACGAAGCTTAAATCTACTGGTAAGGGCTCTCTAGATCCGGAGCTCACTCAAGCGTGTCCTAACTCTAGGGCGGCTCGTAACATACTCTCCCACCCAGGCCCCAGCCGCCCCGAAAGCCCTCCGTCTCGTGACGTCACACCGCCCGAGGACTCTCGTCATTGGTCACTTCTGGCACGTGACCTCACCTGGCCAGTCAGATGCCAGGAAGCATCACGACGTCTTGACGGGAAACAGGATGGCTCGGCACCGTCTTCTGCCCCGAAAGGCGTAAGTCTTTTGCATTATCAAACTTAGCTGGCCATTTTACAGCCAGCTTAATCACGCTCCACGCTTTCCCACACATGAAAATGTTCCCTGAACATCAGAGAATATTCTAAGCTGGGAAGGAAGAAATATAGGGGTGGGACACCATCACAATATCTATATGTTGTACCTAGTAGCCAGAACGCAGTTCTTGGCCTACTATGCAAGGCCCGATTTGCCTTATAAGCCAAGTTCCCTGAATTTCAATATTTTTCGATTTTTTTTTATAAAATGATAGAGCTATCCATTTCATTATGTATGAGTTAATTTGTTTAAATTTGAGTCACAACTAACGGAGATATATGACCAAACCTAACCTACCCTACCTAACCTAACCTAACCTATCTTAACCTAAGCTAGACTAACGTAAGTTAATCAATAATTTATGTTCTTAATGTAATATAATTTTTTTTAAATAAACCAACTGGAAACAATTTATTGAAAATAAAGAAAATCACTCGGACCTTTAGGCAAATCGGGCCTTGCATAGTAGACTGAGAAGTGCGTTCTGACTACTAGGTACGACATATGTATATAAATATATATATGATGGGGAACCGCCCCACCTTGATGGGGTGGTTCTTCTCCGGCCCCGACCACGGCGGTCTCCAGGGTTGGAGGTCCCTGTGCCCTTCTTCACCACCTTCGAGGTCAACCCCGGAACTCACAGTTCCTGCGACGGCGCTGGAACCAATCGTATTGGCGTATGCCTTTCCATTGGAGACTTTCAGCGCCGTGGAGAGGGGGGACCTGCTGCCTGGGTAACAGCTTCTCTCCCGCATCAACCTACCCTGGCTTTGCGCCTTGGAGAGGCCACTCCAGACCGACAACCAGAGCTCAACTCCATAGTCTCCTGAGACTGATGGATGCCTACTAATATATATATATATATATTAATATATATATATATATATATATATATATATATATATATATATATATATATATATATATATATATATATATATATATATATATATATATATATACGAACAAGCCTGAATGGTCCCCAGGACTATATGCAACTGAAAACTCATACCCCAGAAGTGACTCGAACCCATACTGCCAGGAGCAACGCAACTGGTATGTACAGGACGCCTTAATCCACTCGACCATCATGACTGGACAATAAGGAAGTGATAGCCGAAGCTATTTGAACCACTTCCCCGCCGGCACTCGGATGGTAATCTTGGGCATAGCATTTTATCAAATCACCTCATTATTTGGGGCACACGTGAGGAACACAAATGTGAACAAGCCTGAATGGTCCCCAGGACTATATGCAACTGAAAACTCACACCCCAGAAGTGACTCGAACCCATTCCCCCCCCCATCCTTTTGTCCTTCCCTCCATCCCCCACTCCAGCGTCCTCTCGTCCTCTTAACCCACCGTCCCACTCCACCGTCCCCTCATCCTCCTCACCATCCCCCATTCCCCTGTCCCTTTGTCTTCCCCACCATTCTCCATTTCCCTGTTCTTTGGTCCCCCACCATTCCCAACTCCCCCATCCCTTCGTCCTCCCCAACATCCCCCACTCCCCTGTCCCCTTGTCATCACCACCATTCTTCATTCCCCTGTCCGCTAGTCCCCACCATCCCAAACTCCCCCATCCTCTTGTCCTCCCACAAATATCCCCTTCCCTGTACCCCTCGATCTCTCCACCATCACCCACTGCTGTCCCCTCATCTTCCCCACCATTCTCCCTTCCTCTTTTCCTCTCGGCCTCCCTAACATTATCCTCCTCCCACGTCCTCTCATCTGATGCTTTCCCAAATGAACTGATGTTCCCATCACTGAAAAAATAAGAAAAACAATTAAAAACAAAATGAAAAACTACAACAATAAACTATACTCAAGAAATGAACACTATGGTAAACAACACAGCTCAATTTCAATGCAATGTCACGCAAATAATTAAATCAAAATGAAAATATCGAAATCTATGAAAATTCTATTTGTCAATGCAGTTGGAAACATTGAAAAGGAATCCTAACATAGTATAGGGTCTGTGTGTCTCCTATATGCAACAGATGGCGTTGTTTCTTAAAAAAAAAAGTTTTTACCTGTCACAGATGTGGCCTTTATTCTTATACTTACGAAATTAACCATATGGTAAACAACACAGCTCAATTCTAACGCAATGTCACTCAAAAAGATTAAATCAAAATGAAAATAAATTGAAATCTATGAAAATTCAATTTATCAATGCAGTCGAAAACATTGAAATTGAATCAAAACATATTTATCATAGCGTGTGTTGCTATTACGTGCAACAGATGGTGCTGTTTCTTAAAAGAAATGTTTTTACCTGTCACAGGTGTGGTATCTATTCTTATACTTGCGAAATGAACGGTATGGTAAACAACACAGCTCAATTCTAACGCAATGTCATATAAAATAATTAAATCAGAATGGAAATAAACCGAAATATATGAAAATTAAATTTATCAATGCAATCGGAAACATTGAATTGGAATCATAACGTACTTAGTATAGCTTGCATGTGTTGATATTACGTGCAACATATGGCACTGCTTTAAAAGAAAGTATGTTTTTACCCATCACAGGTGTGGTATCTATAAGTAGGTAAATAAAAATATGTGCGTATTTGAATGCACCCTGTGTCAAAATTTCAAACCAATTGAAGAAGTTTGGGAGATAGGAGCGTTGTTGCTCTTACGTCTAACAGATGGCGTTGTTTTTCAAAAAAAGCTTTTTTTTTTTCCTGTTACAGGTGAGGTGTGTATTTAGTAAGTATATAAAAACACACTCCTATTCGAATGCAACGTTGTGTCAAAATTTCAAATCAATCAGTAAAGAGGTTTCGAAGATATGACTCACATGAAAAGCACAATTTAAAAAAAAAAGCATGTGTTTTCCGACTCAGACGTGACAACTATATAATATGTATATAAAACCTGCTCGGGTGCGAATGGAGCATTGTGTGAAAATTTCAAAGCTATCGGTGAAGAACTTTCGGAGATTAGCGATTTTGAACAAACATTTTCATTTATTTATATATATATATATATATATATATATAACTGAAAACTCACACCCCAGAAGTGACTCGAACCCATACTCCCAGAAGCAACGCATCTGGTATGTACAAGACGCCTTAATCCACTTGACCATCACGACCGGACAAAATGAGGTGATAGCCGAGGCTATATGAACCACCCCACCGCCGGCACTCGGATAGTTATCTTGGGCATAGCATTTTACCAAATCACCTCATTCTTTGGGGCACACGTGAGGAACACAAATGCGAACAAGCCTGAATGGTCCCCAGGACATATGCAACTGAAAACTCACACCCCAGAAGTGACTCGAACCCATACTCCCAGAAGCAACGCATCTGGTATGTACAAGACGCCTTAATCCACTTGACCATCACGACCGGACAAAAT